GCTTTTTTGAAAAGGTGAATCAAATTACGAAGGCCAAGGGGTGAAAAATTCACCCCAAGTATTTCTGACAAGGCCACGCGCGAGACCTGTCGCGCGCAGCTTGCCAGCTGCCGCGTGGCAAATTTTGATTGGGCGTGATTTTTTTCCTCCTTATTTTTAATTGATATTTTTTGAGATAAATACAATGAATTAATTTATAATTTTTATACCATTAATTTTTATTTTTCAAACTCTATAAATAGAGACTAACTTTGTGTCATTTGGACACCAAAAAAAATCTGAGTTTCTACACCCTATTCTTCTTCTTTCTACAATTTGAAGCTAGTTTCTTCATGGATCCTTCACAAAACTATCCTAATTTTTCCTACAACTACAACTTTCCTAACCAACCTCAAAATACCCTCCCTCAACCACAACATCCAAATATACAACGCCCCGAAAATACTCAAAATACGGGGATGCAACCCAATTTTCAAATGTCGTATATGATGCAACCAAATTTCGGCATGCAATATCCTTATCTTCCTTACGGTTATCCTCCAGTTCCGGAAAGCAGCTATGTTCCCTCCCATATGAATTGTCCCAATTTTTAATGTTCAAACAGACGTGCTGCTGGAGTTTTAAGTCCATGTTCAACACTGATCTGAGGCAAATAATCAGACTAGAGCGGAACTACGAGATAAGACCCAACATATTCAGCTGAAGAAGGATCTCATCGAGCACATTTGGCAGAAGTTTGGGACAACCTCCGATTAGATTTACCAATTTAGTGTGTGTTTTCTTTAATGTTTTCAATAATTTGGGTGTGTTTGGTTTTCCGTATGCTTAATAAAACCGTGTGTTATTTTATGTTAATTTAAAAATATTATTGAAAATTAAATTAATAATATATATTTAAATATTATATATTATTTATTGAATTATTAATAAATTATAATTATAAATATATGAGTTATATTAATAATAATAATAATAAAATAGTAATATATATGAAATAGGAAAAAGAATGAATAAATATGGTGGGGTATATGTTGAAGTGATGTGGTTTATGGTGGGTCCCAAATAAAGTAAAAAACTTTCTGAAAAATCTCCTGCTGTAGAGTTGATAGGGAAATGAAGATTATTGAATTAAATAAAGTGATGTGGCAGGAGAGAAGGAGGTGAAATTTCACCTCCTGCTGGAGATGGTCTTAGGGCCCGTTTGGTTCATTAGGTGAAAGTTACTGTAGTCAGGAAACCAGGTTGAAAACTGACTCTGACAACTACAGTAACTTTCGCCCAAAAACACTATATTTTGAGGAGATATGGTCATAAACTGCCACATTGGATTTTTAACTGCCACATCATTATTTTTTTTGCACAACCAAACAATGTAAACAAGTGAAAGTTACTGTAACCTGACAGCTACCTAACAGCTACAGTAACTTTCAAACAAAAACAACCCAACCAAACAGCCCCTTAAAATAATTAAGGAGGTTTTTGAGTATCATAAATGGCTCGTCATATACTTTTATTCCTTGGAAGATTTTATTAACCGAAATGCTTATTTAGTTCATTTTGACAATTTAAAGTTCTTTGCCGAGAAAAGTATAAAGGTCATGAAAGATTATTCCAATATATTTAAGGTAAATACAAACTATTTTACAACCAAGTTATAGTAAAGAAATAAATAAAAAAATAATCATAATATTCAACCACATGCAACACATGTTGATTCCACCGTGTCCACTTACTAGTACTCATAAAAAGTGTGTTCTCCTCTTTTTCTCAAGGATATTCTGAAAATATATTAACAAATTAAGGACAATGCAAGTTCAGACGTTCTAGACCAACATTATTATCAACTTAGGCTCAACTTACAATGGGATGTATAGCCTAACATTTGTAGGATTCCCTTTAAGGGCCTGTTCGTTTGCCTAAAAAAAGAGGGAAATCAAAGAAATGGAAAACTATTAAAATGAAGAATTGTTTTTGGAGTGTTTGGTTGGCTAAAAAAGAAGAAAATCAAAGAAATGAAATTGAAATGATGTTAGTTGTCACCTTATTATTGGATGATGTTTGTGATTTTTTAAGAAAACTAGTTTTGGAGTGTTCGGTTGGCGAAAAAAAAAAGGAAATGGATTATTAGAAACCTATTTCCTGTAGTTTCTTGTTTTCTTTTGTTCGGTTCATTCTTAAAAATAAGAAATGAAATGAGATGAGATGAGTTGTCATTGTATTATTGGGTGATGTGAAGAAAGATTAAGAAAAGTGTTTTCATAACTTTTTGGGATGAAAATGAAGAAATAAAATGTTAATGAGATGAGGTGAATTGTTATAATATTTTATTGGATGATGTGAGTGATTTGAAATGATGAGAAGAGATGAGTTGAGTGATGTTTGGATGAAAATAATATTTTATTAGATGTGATGTATGAGTTGTTAGATGAAAATAACATTTTATTAGATGTGATAGATGAGTGGTTAGATAAAAATCATATTTTATTAGATGATGTGGATGAGTTGTTGGATGAAAATAATATTTTATTGGATGTTGTGGGTGAGTTTTAGGGATGGAAATGGAGGAAATGGTGAGTTTTGAGATTTTCACCATTTTCATTTCCATTTCTTGGTTTTTAGAAAACAAACGAACATGCCCTAAATAAAAAGGTCTCGGCCTAAATTTTTAGCCCACAACACATTCACCCGTTCCCCGCTCCTACTGTCCAAGTCGGAAAAGGAGAAGCGAGGAAATTCTATTATAAATAGAGTTTAGTCGCGGATAGAGACTTCCTGTAGGGCTTGTTTGGATTGAGGGGAATGAGGGTGAAGGGAAGTTAGGGGAACCATTCACCTCTATTCACCTTGTTTGGGAACACTTAGGAGGTGAAGTTAATTCACCTCCATTCACATTGGTTCACCCCCTAATAGTATAAAAATTGTTACCCCCCAAATTGGGGTGTAACCAAGGGGAAGGGAATTCCCTTCACTTCCCTTCCTTTCCCTTCCCTTTCCTTCACTCAGTTTCCCTTAACTTCCCTTCACCCCCTACGAATCCAAACAGGTCCGTAGTATTGTGCAGTTAGACTCCCAGTTACTAATATTTTTTTGACTCGCCTAACAGCAAAAATAGAGAAAAAGAAGCAATTTTTCTTATGAAAAAGGAAACCAATGGCTTCTAGAAAACTTCAGGTTCGTTCTCGAATAAGATTAATTGAGATCTTTGATTATGTTAGAGGTTTATTGTATTTGATTTCTGGTGTCAATTTGTATTTTCCTGTTATATTTGGCTATTTCAGGTCATTAGTGTTCTATGAATAAGATTACATATTATTGACGTAATTTATAGTGATCTTGTGCTTGATTAACTCTCTATGATCTTTCGTTGGTTCAGCAAATCTATTTCTCACAAAACTATCAAATTGGTTTTAACTACAATTGCCTAATTTGTTAGAATATAAAATTATAATCATAAATCATCACTACTGCTTTGAGGTTTGATGTAATGGCAGATACCTTTAACCTGTACCAAAGTACCTGATATTAGAGTCTTGTTGACCGTCAATATCTAAGCGGACCTTAAAAGTAAATTGATACGTCTATTTGAATCCAAATTAAAGGGCGGTCTTAAATGACTATTTAAGACCTCGTAAGTAGGCAAGATAAAAGTAAGAAGTAAACAAAATTTTACCTTTATATGTGAAAATAGATGCCATGTTTTGTCTTCTATTTGATTCTGTGAATTTTTTTGAAATTAATTTTATATCTAAATCTCTGTCCTTACATTGATCGACATCGGTATATTTGATCCCATAAAATTTGAGGTTAAAAAACCAGTACCCGGATGGTTGTTTTTGTTTTGTTTTGTTGGAATGTCATATTTGATCCCATAGGTGTTGCAATCTATTATGATTATGACTTTGAGTTATCATGATAGCATAGTAAATTTGTACCTTATTTAAACTAAAGAAATTAGAGTTACATGATATGGGTGCTTGGCTTGGGTATATAGGTGTTCTACTATTTATTTATTTATAAATCAATGTTAGTTGAGAGAGAGAGAGAGAGAGAGAGAGCATTGAAAGAGAAGGCGTAGGTTGTTCAAAATGACGAGGAACAACCCTCGGATTGGGATCCTCTACTTATGAGGAGGGTCCTAAAATCTCCTCATGAGATATTGGCCTTTAATTTATCAATCAAAGATCATGATTTCCTCATGAGCAAAAGTAGGGGGATGATAATGATGAGATCTTGACATTTGATTGATAAATCAAAAGCTAAGATCTACTTATTAGGAGATATTAGGAACACTATGCATTAGTAGAGGATCCTAATTTCAACCCCTCTCTCCCACTGACCCACACACACCCAAACCAGGCAATAAAAAAAGAAAAAAAAACAACCTAAAGTTGGAAAATTGAAAACCCCCCTTCATCTTTCAACATTTTATAACAACCCCCTAACAACTTTAACCACAATTTGCAGATGGATAATAAAACTACGCAGAGGGTTATGAGGGTGTTTGGAAAGGCTTATTTTCTAAAGCTTATAAGTTATACTAGCTTTTAGTGACTTTTGACTTTTATGATAAAAATATTATAAAAATTATTTGGGTAAGTCATTTGTTTGGTCAAACCTAGCTTATTTACGTGAGCTTATAAATTAGTTTTTTAAAAGTTGAGGTACACCATCTTTTTAAAATGTGACTTATAAGCTAACTTATTTTATTTTTTACCAAACGAGTAGAAATGAAAAAAACTAGCTTAAACGCTAGTTTGACACAAAAAATAAGCCGCCCTAAACACCCTCTATGTTTTCCGATGAAAATTCCAATTTACGTTTTTAGGAGTTTTTCCGTAAACGTTAAAAATTGAAGGAGGTTTTCCATAGAACACCAAAACTTCGAGGGGCTTTTGAGACACATTAAAACTTAAGGGGTTATATGAAAAGCACCCAACTTAAGGACGGTTTAGTTCACCTTTTTAACCCTAAAAACAAATTTATTGATTTTCCATCCCGCGTTTAATCTTCCTCGCTTTCTCCTCCTCTTTTTCTTCAGTTGTAGGAGAAATCCCATCGTTTATAGCGAAGATTATTTTAAAACAAAAATAACCATTAATTTGGTCAGACCGTCAGCCTTCAATTCGATCACCGGTCCTTTTCAAAAAATCATCCGAATCGGGAAAGGGAAGGTCCGCTTTAATTTATTCCATCCTTTCGTTCCTTTCACGCCATTTCAAATTTCTCAAAAAATAACTCCTTCAATAAAACCCCCATCGATTCTCGAAATTCCCTTTCGCATGCTCTGTCTTCTTCGTCTCCGCTTATTTCACAAGGCTGCACTCTCATTTTCTTCCCCTTTTTATCGCCGTTATCGTCGCCCCTTTTCCTCATCGAAAGAGATGAGGGGATTCAAGCCGCCGGATTCGAAATCGAACAAGCTTGGTTCTTCTTACGGGCGCGGATCGGTGAGTTTGTTTTAAGCTTGCTTGCTTTCTGTTCGATGAAATGCCACAATGAGTCCTTTGTAATCTTGACATCTTTTGTCAGCAGTAACCACTTACAAAAATGGTTCTGTTTGTGATGTTAGGTTAATTTTGATGACTTTCAACAACACCCACTTGCCAATTTTATTTATTTTTGGATATGTGCTTCAGGTTGGGGGTGTTTTACATTTGATTGAGATAGTTGCTAGTGCATGATTTAGAGACGAGGACAAAATTGAGGTTGAGTTAGTTTTACCTATGAGGTGCTGCAACAATGACATACGTTTTTAAGCGTATTTATTGTGGACAAATTTTCAAAACCGACCCTTTTGGGTTTTTAATTGCAAAAAACGACCGGTTTTGAAAATATTTACAAAAACCGACCTGTTTTCAGGCAGGGGCTGAAAACAGGTCGGTTTTTGTAATTTTTTTTGGGAAACTTCACGGGAGTTGAACTCCCGTGAAGTTTGGGAATTTTTTTTTTAAAAACCGACCCAGTTTCAACCAACTGGGTCGGTTTTTATAAATAATATTGAAATGGGTCGTTTTTTGCAATTAAAATCCCAAAGTGGTCGGTTTTGAAAATTTGTCCTATTTATTGTCGTACCTTATATGAAGCCTGACCAGCGAGATATTAGTTGGATTTTCTACCATTTCTTACCTTGTTGTTGTTGAACATAATAGATATGTACATCTGTATTCTATACTTTTAGTCCCACATTGCTAGGGATACTGGAACAACTTCCTTATACTTGTGTATAACACCTCAATATAGTCTGAGCCACCCATCAAACCTCCGGGTGTTACTATGAACATATTCTCCGCACCCATGTCTACCATGTCCCCCCTATTATGCTCTGATGTCTTCCCCTGTACTTTCACCACCATCCAACACCATTGATCTCATATTTCTCTATCTCGACACACCAACCACTAAAATTGCTAGTGATCCTGTATTTCGCGAATGAACGAAGAGCATCAAGATAGATTGTCACTTCACTCGTCAGGACTTGTTGGCACTATCACCCTTCCCTACGTGAACATCAGTCTCTAGCTCGCAGATCTATTCACCAAGGCTCTCTGCAACGAAATCTATTTCTTCTTGGCTATCTGCCTTCGGTAGACCCACGTACAGTTTGATGGGGGTGTAAAACATACTAAATATGTTCATTTGTAGTCTAATTCTTTTAGTCCCAAAATTTGTTTGTGATACTAGAACTACTCCCTTATACTTTTGATAAACACCTCAAAATAATGAAGAGAATCATCTAGTTTTCTCCCAATGCTCTATATATATCAGATATCTCATATTCTGGTTTTCTATATGAAAAAGTTAAAATTTTAGCTCCGTTTGGATACCATGGTGTTTTAGTTGTTTCCATGGTGTTTTTGCCAAAAACAAAACACCATGCGTTTGGAAACCATGATGTTTTTTGAGCTAAACCATCATCAAACAAAAAACACAGCACTTATTTCAAAACACATTTTAGGTGTTTTAAGTTTGGTGTTTTGGTTTTGAGTTTGAGAACGTGTTAATATAATATCTAATATAATATATTAAATGTAATTAATATAGAGTTATTATCAACATGCTTATTATATTATACTATACTATACTATATTATAGTTAATTTAATATATTAGTAATATTTATTAAATATATAAAAATATAATAAATAAAATATCTTATATAATAATATAATAACATATTAAATACCAATATTTAATATGTTAATAAAGTATTATATAATAAATAAATAATAATAAAATATAAATAAAGTAATAAAAAATAATAAAAAATTTATTGATAATAAATAATAATATAATAATGATATAATAATATATTATATAATAGTCTAATCAGTGTTATCGAGGCGCAAGGCGCAAAGTGGGGCGTAAAAGTCCCTTACGCGCACCATGCTCAAGGCGCACAATGAGGCGCGCGCCTCACTAATTGAGGCGCATAACTCAAACTAATATTTGCCAACATCATAAGACAAAAATATATAAGCAACATATTAGTTACCTACATCCAAAATGATGAGAATATCAACTTAAATCATCAAATTATGCTAACTGAATTTTTAAAGTAACAAAAAAGATACAAGAAACATGTATTTAAATCATCAAATTAAGTGATTAACAATTATGAGCATATGTTTATAAATTGTCACATAAAAAGACTAAGAAATATAATTAACAAACATAATTATTCATAATTTTCTAGTTAGTATTCTTAATTGATATTTGCTACTTAGCATGAAAAGATGAAGAATGAATGTAACAATTACATATTTACATGTTCATAATTTGCTAGTTAGCATGCTAATTAGAGAAGTAAGTTACAATTAGCAAACAAGTATACTAAATTACTAATTATTATTTTCTTTTTATAGGTTAAACATGAAAAGATAAAAATAGATTAGCAACTAGTAAGAAAGAGTATATTACATGATATAAATATGTAATTATGTAAATTATTTAAAAAAAATAGAAGAAAAAGTATGTTAATAAACGCAGGTGGCGAGGCGCACGTGAGGCGCGTGCGAGGCGCACGCAAGGCGCGCGCCTCGCTGCGTGCACCGCCCCCCTCACGTGCGGGCGCATTTTCCCCAGGCCGAAGCGCCTCGCGGCCCGGGTGCGCGCGCCTCAATAAGCCTGAGTCTTAATTGCTATAATATTATTAAATTTTTTAATAAAATAAATTATAATAATTTAATAATTATAAAATATTATATTAGAGTAACATATTTAATAATAACATAACAATATAATAATAACAATAATATAATAACATATTGTATAGTAAATGTAATATAATATAAAATATTAATATATTATGTAATAAATAATATAATTTATTATAAAGTAAAATAATTTTTAATAATAAAATAATTTATTGTTAACAAATGTTAATGTAAAAATAATACCGGGCCGCGCGCCTCAATAAGCCTGAGTCTAATTGCTATAATATTATTAAATTTTTAATAAATAAATTATAATAAATTAATAATTATAAAATATTATATTAGAGTAACATTTTAATAAATAACATAACAATATATAATAATAACATAATATAATAACATATTGTATAGTAAATGTAATATAATATATAAAAATTAATATATTATGTAATAAATAATATAATTTATTATAAAGTAAAATAATTTTAATAATAAAATAATTTATTGTACAAATGTTAATGTAAAAATAATATATTCATAATATAATAATTTTATTTATATCATAAATACTATATATATTATTAAAGTACTATTAATAAACTCTAACATATTAAAAACTTATAATATATTATATAATGTTAAAATATTTATAATATATTAATTTATTAATAACATACTAGTAATAACATGATATTAACATTATTAAAAATATTATATTATATGAATAATAGTATACTATTATATTATAATAATAATAATAATATATTATATTAATAATAAAATAACATTATTATAAAAATATTAATATAATATACAACAATAACAAATTGATATACCAAAATAATTAGATATATAATTATTTGAAAATAATATGTAATAATTATAATATAATATAACTCATTAAAGTACAATATAATATTATAATACATTATACAATATTATATTGCATTACATTTAATACTTATAATACTATAATAATGTAAACTAAATATTATAACATTTTACAATATATTTTATTATAATTAATATATAATATATTAATAATATGTTTAATACTAATGTTATAATGGGTCAAACTAGTGTTGATTAAAAATACTTAACATGGTGTTTTGAAAACATTTTAAGAGAAAACACAACACCATGGTGTTTTTTTACGAAAACACAACAAGGAAAACACTATGGTATCCAAACGAAGCAATTAAAGCTAATGTTTGTTTTATTTGTGGTGTATTATTATGAAAATTGACACCTTTTAGATGATATTCATTTTTCATTTTGGGTTGTTGTGCCATAAATTTGATACGTTACTTCGATTTCTATTGTTAAATTTCCTTGATATGATATATTTTGGTTGTCTATGCGAAATTTCAATGCTATCTAATTTTTATTTAAATTTCACTTATTTGTGACTCATGATATATAGTTGAAACTATATTTTGGACGTTATGTGGAAAATTTGATATGCTTAACTTACTTGGATTGGATTCATAGGTATCTGCTGGCAACTCATCAATATATGGCGAACGCTCTGTTTCCCCTATTGTTGGTCCTATTAGTAAATCTGCACAAAACATTGGACCTCAGAGGCAAAAAATTTCTCCAGATAGGTCAACTAGTAAAAATAGTGCAGGAAGTTCTGGAGGTGATCCTGAGCAAAAGGTGTTTGATATCTGCAGAAAACCAAGTGCTGTTGGTGTGAAATTACAGAAATCTCTACTTGAAATAAATAGAGAAAAAAGAAAGGAAGCTCAATGCTCGAAGGGTGGTCCTCAGCATGAATATGTTAGACCTGGAATGGTTTTGCTAAAGAAGTATATAAGCCACGATAATCAGGTTTGAAGTTCAATTTCAGTCAATTTGTGCATATTTTTTCCTTTTCTATAGAACTTGAACTGACTTAATCTTGTTTATCTTTTACTCTTATATCATGTATCAGTGTTGAATACAAATTAATAAATGTGAGGTACTCGCCTATTTTCTTTCAAGTCCAAGCAAACAGTGTTTTTGTATCTTGAATATTGGAAGGCACTCTCAAATAATTTGGTACTTCATCTTGTTAATGTATTATTAGAATACATTTGAGTTTGACATGTGTTAGTGTCTTCATGGCTAATGTTGAAAACTGTTAGCCTTTTGTTTTGGTATAACATTTCCTCTCTGATAATGTCATGTTTATAGGAAATAACTACTTTCATTTTAGTGTATCACATTTAAGATTTTGCATTGCATTATACTTGGTTGAAAAGTTGGTGCATTCCCTTGGGTTTGAGAGCGAAATGCACTCCAATAACCAAGCATATTGATTCAAATCATCACTGTTGATCACGTTACCTTCTAGAGGAGTGGCTCTCATAATTAAGCTTATAAATGATTGTTTTTCAAGATAGATTAACTGTTATTGTTTATTATTTTGTCTTAAATTCTTTTGCAACTTGTGTAACCTTTGTTCCTTCCGCATTATAGGTCATGATTGTTAAGAAATGTCGAGAGCTTGGTATTGGCTTAGGAGGATTTTATAGACCGGGTTATGGAGATGGTGCAAAGTTACGTCTGCAGATGATGTGTCTTGGTAAAAATTGGGATCCGGAATCAAGAAAATATGATGACAAGCGCCCAACTGATGGAGCTACACCTCCTAGAATCCCAGAAGAATTTACAAAAATTGTTGAGGAAGCTCTTAGAGCTTCTTATGATGTAATAAAGCAAAAGAATAGCAAGACTATTGTTGAAGAAGAACTTCCATGGATGTCACCTGACCTCTGCATTGTCAACTTCTACAATAACGATGGAAGACTTGGCCTCCATCAAGTAAAAATTTCCAGTCCTTTTTTAAATTGTTTACATTCATATAGTTCATGCTATTTTTTCCCTTATATAATTCAGTGTATCAATTAATACTATGATTTTTGGTGCTCATGCAGGACAGGGATGAGAGTGAAGAGAGCCTTCAGAAAGGACTACCTGTTGTTTCTTTCTCTATCGGTGACTCTGCAGAGTTCTTATATGGAGATGTAAGAGATGAAGATAAGGCTAAAAGGGTGTTGCTTGAATCTGGTGATGTTTTGATATTTGGTGGTAAATCAAGGTGGATATTCCATGGAGTTCCAAGCATTAATCAAAACACTGCTCCAAAGCGCCTTGTTGAGGATAGCAATCTAAGGCCTGGTCGTCTTAACCTCACCTTCCGAAAGTACTAGCATGTTAAGACTCTTTAGACGATTACCCTTCTGATATTGACAGTACAACTTTGTATTAATTGCCTACATGCTAATTTATTTGGGGTTATTCTCCATTATATTCACAGTTTGAATCTCTTGTGGTCTGATTTGTTTTTTTTTTTCATCTATAACTTCATTAAGCTCATATTTTCGAAATAAACTAAAAGTACCATACTTAAGTGATGGATTGAATATTTCTGGCAATTCTTCTATTTTTACAGATATCATGGTTTTAAAGATATTTTTGTGTGGGTGTGTGGGGGCGCTTCATGTTTCTATTTTATAAGCTTATTCCTCTCATTGCATTGGTCAAGTTTGCAAGCCACTCAGAATTAAAGATGTAGGGGAAAGGGATTTGTGAATGCTTTGGTTGTCTTGATCCACTTGTATTTGGGTTATTCTAGTATGATTGGCCATAATAGAACTGTCTTCTATTTCTGGCCTATCTTCTGAACAGTTCTTGTGTGCCTATTGTTGGATACATCTATATATAACAAAAATGAATTTAATGAAGTCAGGAATTATTGTGCTTTTTCTTTGTTGCTCTGTCCTTTTAAGTTCTTACTCAGCCTGAAGTTATTCCTTATAATTTGTTCAATACCTTGACTAATAACTTTTAAGGAAGGAAGTCAGTAAAAGCTCTCACTGTGATCCCAATGCTTGTTGTGACTTCTACCTCTAATGAATTTGATGTGCTAAAATAATTCATACACATGTATCTCCCTTTTTTTCCTGCATTTATTCCGCTGTTGATGAACTGAAAACTCATGGGATGTGAAATTTCATGTATAGAAATAATTTTATGACATAATATAGAGAGAGAGAGCAATGATTTTTCTTTTCTTTTCTTTCTTGCCTATCATTATTGTTGCGGTGAGACGTGACTGGAGTGCATTGCAGACACTTGATATTTCTCGACGAGTGATGATTTTTACGGGTTACAACCTTGCACGTTACACTTGAACTTCATATTATCTTCTAAGCTGTAAAAGTATCAACAACGTATACTGATTTCACTACTCTCATCAAGCTGCGGGAGTGAAACCCAAATTGGTAAAACTTTAGCTTAGCCAAACCGACAAGGTTTCCTTAATGTTGGAGATACCATAATCAATAATAGAAGGGACCTTGACAAGCTTTATCTTAATATGTGCGTATGCTTGGCAATCACCGAAGCATTTTGGTTGTTGCTGGATGACTTATTGAGCACTCCTGAGTCATCCAAACTTTTAAAACTGTGTCCGCATTCAATGTATCTCCATCTCTAACACACTTCTCTAGTTTTGTTTGTATCTTAGAAACAGAAAAACCTGTAAAAAAATTGGTTGAATGCTTGCTCTTTTTGTAGCATGAGACGCAGGAGTCGCATCCAAACTACTACCACAACTAAGCACACGCTTCTTTATTGCTTCATTATTTCTTTTTCAGCCTTATTATTCGTGTGTTGTCGAATGCCTAGCCGCAAGTGTTTCTGATGTGGAATCCTCCTCTTTCTTGAGTCGTCAGTAAAAGGACATTTAGCGAAGAGTTGGTTGCCTTTCGTTTTCGCCGTGGTGGGTTACAATGAGATGGAGAAATAATTAAACTAATTAAGTGTGTTCTATGGCATTCCTTAATTCTGTGTTTTTTTAATGAGTTCATCCCAAAGAGTAGGGCTGAGCATGGTTCGGTCCAAACCGAAAAAACCGATCCGAACCGACCCGAAAAAATCGGTTTTATAAGTCGAGCGGTTCGGGTCGGTTTGAAAACTTTTCAACCTGAACCGACCCGAACCGACCGAATATAGTGCAATACTACCTATCCTGATCTCAAACGTTACCCGACCCGTCTCCAAAGAGTCAAAGATTCAAACCTTAAACTCATTTTTTGAATCATTATAGGTTGAAAACAATATCATTATATTAATGTTTAATGCTTCATAATCTCCTACTTTGTTGATATCTTTTTTTTCTTTAACACAGTTTGTTGTTTGATAAGAAGTTTGATGAAATTAGAACCGAACAAACCGAACAGGACTGCACCGAACCGACTTGCAACAGTTCGGTTCGGTTTTGAATAATATGCGGTTCGGTTCGGTTGTTCAAATTTTGGCAAAAACCGAACCGAGCCGACCGTTGCACACCCCTACCAAAGAGATCGTCTTCATCTTGGATTAAAAAGACTTTGGTTGTGATCTTCATTATTTTCTGGCTTTAGAAAGTAAGATGAAATAATTTCTTCAGTTTCCAGTCAGCTAGCTGTCAGTGTAAAGTTTCGATCTCATTTCTTTGTTTAAAGTATGAGATGTGTGTCAGTATGCTTTATGGTCAGAAAAGTATGGTGGTGGTTTCCTTTGTTTGAGAGCAACCAGTGTAGTTTAGGTCCGTGATGGCTAACTCAAACTCCACTATATGCCTGTACTTTCAGGATCTATGAGTTTGCATAAAGTCGAAAAGTTATGTTTAAGAGAGTTAAAACTCTTTCGACGGTTCATCTGCTTTCTTGTTCTCGCTACCTCTCTCATTCATTTCTGTCACTAACCAGGCATTTCTTGGATATTCAGAGAAAATATTTGTGTGCGTGGTTGCCGTACTATTTTCTCACTAGTAGAAAAACGACCAACCTAGACGGAAATTTCCGTCTAGGTTGGTCTACAATCCGTCTAGGT